CACACTCAGCAACCTCACACTCAGCAACCTCCTAACCACCAGATGAACTCTAATAGCTGTGCTTGACTTGACTGTCTTATCCCTATGGAACAGCATGTTTGGCACATTATAGGAACTCAGTGAGACCTTATTAAAGATAGCCCCCCTCTCATGGGAGAGGTTCATTTGTATACATATAGGTATGTCAAGTCATATTTAGAGACAATAATAGGGAGAGGAGGGCTTGAATGTGCTAATTAGCCACAAAATCCTCCATAGGGAAATATCCTGACCGGCCATAGCTGCCTTCCCATAGAGAACTTCCTCTGTCTCCCAGTCAGAGAAGAAAGCTTCCCCTAATATATAGCAGGGACTACAAAAGCACAGTCAGGAGTAAACATGTCTAGGAGGGTCTAGGTCACAAACACTCATTATTCAAGCAGTGTTGATTATTTTCACTAAGACCCTGTCTTAGCACTGGACTCTCCTGACTTCAAACATTTCTGGAATCTTGCATTATTAGTCTGCTAGGGCTGCCATACAAAATACCATAAACTGGTGGCTTAGACATCAAATATATATTTTCTCACAGTTTTGGAGGCTAGGAAAGTTTAAGATCAAGGCTCCAGCCAGTTTGGTTCTGGTGAGAGCTCTCTTCCTGGTCTACAGACAACCACTTTCTCACTATTGTCCTGGCATGGCCTTTCCTGTGTGCATGTGAAAGAGAAAGCAAGCTCTTCTTTTAAGGACATTATTCCCATCAGACCAGGACACCACTGTTATAACCTCATTTGACCTTAATTGCTTCTTAGAGGCCCCATTACCAAATACAGCCACATAGGCATTAGAGTTTCAACATAATTTGGGGAGCACCTATACATGAAGTCCATAACAAAGCTCAAGTCCCCTCTTTAAAAATATATATATATATATAGATAGATTTTTTTACAGTGAGGAAGGGAGAGGGACAAAGAGTTAGAAACATTGATGAGAGAGAACCATCGACCAGCTGCCTCCTGCACACTGGGGATGTGCCCACAGCCAAGGTACACGCCCTTGACCGGAATCGAACCTGGGATCTTTCAGTCCATAGGCCAACAATCTATCCACCGAGCCAAACCAGGTTTCGGCTCAAGTCCCCTCTTTTTTTAATTCGAAAAGAGCTGAGAGTCTTCTTATGGTTTCTGTGTTGGTGTACCAGCCTGCGTGTATTCCTGCCAGAAACCTGTACCTATGTATATATTTCCTTACCTGGTAGCTAGGTAGATTTAGTTAGGGAAGCTAGCTATCCAGGCAGGAGGAAGAAGAGACAATGAAAATGAGAGAAGTAACTGTGAGAAAGCTAGGACGTATTAGTGACTTAAGAAGAAAATGAGGAAGAGTAAAAAACAATTTAAGACCCATGAGATGTGGCCCCCTCCATCAAGGCAGTCTTATTTTTTATTATTCCTGTTCCAGTTCCACCAGTTATTGCCAACAGTCACTTAGCAAGTGACTTAAACCCCTCTTTGCCTCAGTTTCCTCATCTGTATATAATACAATCTCTTAGAGTTATTGTGAGGATTACATAAGAATGCATATAAAGCCCTAACCAGCTTGGCTCAGCGGATAGAGTGTCAGCCTGCAGACTGAAGGGTTTCAGGTTCGATTCCAGTCAAGGGCACATGCCTGGGTTGTGGGCTTGAACCCCAATAGGGGGTGTGCAGGAAGCAGCAGATCAATGATTCTCTCTCATCCTTGATGTTTCTATCTTTCTCTCCTTCTCCCTTCCCCTCTGAAATCAATAAATATTTTTTAATATATTTTATTTTATTTTTAATATTTTTTATTGAATTTTTTTACAGAGAGGAAGGGAGAGGGATAGAGAGGAGAAACATCGATGAGAGAGAAACATTGATCACTGCCTCCTGAACACTCCCTACTAAATATGTGTCCAAAATCAAGCTACATGCCCTTGACCAGAATCAAACCTGGGACCTTTCAGTCTGCTGGCCGATGATGCTCTATCCACTGAGCCAAACCGGTTAGGGCAAGAAATATATATTTTTTAAAGGAATGTTTATAAAGTGCCAGAACAGGGCCTAGCAAGTCATAAGTGATCAGGAAACATTAGCTACGTATAATTATATTTCCCTATCTTGTGCTCTAATCAGTTTGCTCATCTTCATCTGGATTCCAAGTCCTTGCTCACATTGTTACTTCTGCCCTTTCTGGTCTCCTCCACCTACACATATTTCAATATCCTATTTCTCCACAAGGCTCCTTTGTACTAATATGACATTTAGGGCCCATTCAGCTCCCCCTGACAAACTAACAATGCTGCTGTAGCAGTTAACCATCATATACCTTTAGGTGTCCTCCTACAGGGGAAGAAGCTGCTTCTTAATCTTTTGTGTGTTTCCAGTGTTTTATACACTGCTACATTGCAGATGTTCAGGAAATCCTTCCTAAAAAAAGAAAGGGAGTTGAGGTAGGGGTGTGGGGAGAGAAGGTCTGGATTCAGAGCAATAAAAAGGTCACCTAATCTTGAAACAAGAGTACTTTTAATTATATTTTAGTTCTAAAACAAACCCAACTGTGTCACAGTGCCTTCTGAAGAAAGGAGTGTTATGAAATCAAATAATTATAGGAGCAGCCACCCCATGAAAAAATATTGGGAACCATTGATGATGCTTTTAGAGGAGTGGGAAGAAGAGAAGCAGAGAGGCATCAGAAGCAGCAAAGGGAGTGAGATGTGGATGCCGAACACAGAAAGCATTTACTGAGTGCCTGCTCCACACGAGGCTCATGTACTGACCTTGTCAACTGTCTAGTCAGGGAGGTATCATTGTCTCCAGGTTGGCCTGACTCCCAGGCCATGCCCTTTCCCCAATCCTCATTACCTGTTTTGTTTATGAAAGGTATTGCAATTGGAGATGTGGTAGGGCCGAGTGAACATGCCCTCTGGATCAGCTTCCTGGAGATGCTATACTTTGCTGCTTCCAGGCAGATGATGGATCCCCCCCCCCCAAGCTGGAGGGCCTCCAGAGGACAGGGATAAATAGGGATGGAAGGAGTGTGTGTGTGTATGTGTGTGTGTGGTGTGTGTGTGTGTGTGTGTGTGTGTGAGAGAGAGAGAGAGAGAGAGAGAGAGAGAGAGAGAGAGAGAGAGAGAGAGAGAGAGAGAGAGAGAGAGAGAGGAGCCTCAGGCCTTGGCTGACAGGATGTAGTTTAAGGGAAACCTTGTCCCCAGATATCCTCCTGCCCAACTTCTTAAGGTGCTAGGAATCATCAACATTATGGTTTTTGGCTTAAGAAAAGCTTGTTACAAGGGGCCCATCATTGAAAGACTACTTAGCGTATCAGATTAGTCATTACCTGAAGTGACATGACTGGAGGGCATCAGGATCTGATAGAGGGCAACAAGGACACGCTTAAAAACAAAGTAGGAAAACTTCAGGTGCATTTCTGAGGTGCCACTAGGCACCTGGTGTAGATTGAGGGCACTAAAGATACACAGCTGCTTCCAAATATTGTCTTTATCAAGGACCACCTGCAAACCTAAGTATGCTTTCACCTCTAGACATTGACTCAAGGGTCACAAGGGTGAAGGAGATGAAGGGGCAACTTGGATAAGCATGGACATCTGGACTACTACAGACTAAACTCTGCCTCCAGCTTCCAGAACCCAGAGCTAAATGAGGCAGGAGAGGTGCATTAACGCCGCAGTTTGGAAGGGCATTCTCCAAGACAGGCAGGAGGGCTCCTCGCTAGCCTCTAACACCCAGGGCTCAGCCCCAGCAGCTTAGCAAAGCCCCAAGCCTCACGTACCATTCCTCACCTCCTGCAAAAAGGCTTCTTTACGCAGGTCCAATCCACCCATTCCAGTGGAACCGTGGTAATTTCCTACTACGAGGGAGTTCAGCGCTCTTAACGCTGGCTTTGGTTCAAGGGTCAACTGTATATATAGTTCTTTTCTTTTTTTCTTTTTCTTTTTTGGTTTAGAAGGAAACTGATTCTGAAGACCACCAGAGGGCGGTGTGTAGCAGGGACCTGGTTTCTGGGAGGGGCGGGAAGGGCGGGAGGGCGGGCTTCCGGTGATACCACCCACCTCTGACCATTCCCCAGGCCTTAGACACACCCCTTCCAGTGCAGTCCAACTTCCTCAGAGCTTCCGTGGCTAACTCAGGGGCACCTGCCTGCTTGGATTCGAGGTGTCTGCTGTGTTGGAAGCTATAGGTTCTGGAAACTCTCAGGCCAAGGAAACAGAGCCAGCAGTAATGGGAGAGAAGAGAGAAACAGTGGAGGAAGCCGGTAGAAACAACCAGGACAAGAGAGCAGGAAGGGCGCTTGTAATATCCATATGCCCTTGTTTGGAGTGCTGGATCTCCCCCCATACATCAGGGCCGAAGTGGGTCTCCGACCTCATCCGCAGCCTTTCTGAAGGAATAGGTTTCAGCCTTCTTCTGTCTGGATGCTTGGCTTGTCCGAGAGTGTGTGTGTGTGGGGAGGGGACTATCAGTTATGACTTAGCTAGGAATTCCCACAGGTCACCAGTTGGTCTAATGACATCTCAGAAAAACACTTGGGTTCCATTCAGACCCCATACCAGGGTAGGAAGTGGCTAGGCTGATGCCTGGCCTTGAGAGAAGGACCAGGGCTAGAGGTTAACAATAGGGGAGCCGAATTCTTTGAGTATCAGTACCCACAATGAACTCATCCTAAACTGGAACCCCTACGAACAGAGAAAGAACATGCTGGGGCCTTCTCGCTCCTTGGACAACTCTGGCCCCTGCATCAGCCGGTAGGCACCTGACCGGCAGAATGCTGTCCTCTCTGGGTGGGAGAAGGAACAAACAGCCTAGAAAAGGGCACAACTTTTTTGGTCTCTTGATAATTGATTAGGACACTCCCGGGGAGGGAGCAGGGCTTGAAGACCTACTGGGGAAGGAGGGATGAAAGGTATTGGTTCTGGGTGTGTCCTTTTTCTCCCCGCCTCTGGAGGTGAATCACCCTCGAAGTAGAGATATTTCCCAACAATCTCCCGGAAACTTTCCCTTTATTAGCCCACCTGTAGGACAATGTCAGAAGTCAGATTGACTGGCCGTGTAAGACAGTGTTAACGCCGTGTCTGTGCCCCAGCCCCTCCATCTTGCCAGGCTGGGCAAGCACATCCTTATATTATGATTTATAAATAGAAAATAAAATTATCGGGTGGGACTGGGGCACTGGGGAAGAAGAGGCGAAATAGTCTTTGCCAAGGAGTACCCACTATCAACCCCACCTCCCTAGGACCTGGAGCACCTCATCAGTAGGAGGTTGCCCCTACACCAGGCAGTCCCGCATCGCCTCCATGTTCCTCCCTTTTCCTCCCTCCCGCCCGCCCCATCAACATCTTTCGCTGCCCACATTCCTAGATCCCAGCCCCCACGCCCTGGCTCCGGCGGGTGCCTCGAGGTTACTAGGTGTGGAACGCTCAGCCCAGCAGCTCCTCCGCCATCCAGTAGAGGAACCGGGAGTACCAGTGCATGCCGGTGGGCTGGACCGCGCCTCCGGGGAGCAGCGCCCCCAGCGCGTGCAGCAGGCGCAGGGGCGCAAAGGCGCGGTGCGCCCACTGGTGACTCTCCAGGACCGCGTAGCACGAGGCCAGGACGTCGTTGACCAGCAGCGTGCCGTGCGCCGTGAGCGGCGCGAACACGCCCACGGCTTCCTCGCGGGCCACGCGGGCCACGCGCGCCGGCCGCAGCGCGTCCCCGCCGGGCGCCAGCACCGAGTCCCCCGCGCGCAGCCGGCGCGCGAACACCGGGGCGAAGTCTCCGGGCGCGGGCGCCGGCCCTCGAGCGGCGAACACCAGGTGCCAGGGCGTGAGCAGCAGCTTGCGAGGCGGCCTCTCGGTCTCCACGGCCACGAAGGAGGCGCGGCGCTGCAAGTCCCGGTCCAAGAAGAGCAGCACCGGCGTGGGCACCACGCGGCCGGCGGAGTCCGCCGCCAGCACCCAGTCCCCGCGGTGCAGCTCCCGCAGCCCCTTCCGCTCGCCGCTCCGCAGGCGCACGGTGGCGTTTCCCGGAAAGCAGCCGCCGGCCCGGACCGCCAGGGAGTTATCTGCAGGGAACAAGCATGGAGAGGATTAGATGGAAGTCCAGTGGTTTCCGGAATGTTGGTACAGATCCCTGAAGACGTAGGTCAAGCCCAGCGCAGACCTCTGCGGTCCCAGGACAACTGCCCTCTCCCAGGGATCTGGCCTCAACCCGGGCAGAAATGGAAGGCTGGTTTATCACGCCAACAGCCACCTTGGTCTCCCCTAGACCCGCAAGTTTCCCTTTGGGAGGAACTCACCACCACCCCCCTCCCCCTACTGTACCGGCTTTGACCGACACGTGGACGTGGTTGCGGGACTCGTAGTACACCCAGTCGAAGCCGGCTTCCACGGCCAGGCGCGCCAGCAGCCCGTACTTGTTGCGGTCGCGGTCGGACGTGGTGATGTCCAAGGCGCGGCCTTCGTAGTGCAGGGAGTCCTGGGCATGGTGGCCGTCCTCATCCCAGCCCTCCGTCACCCGCAGGCGCACTCCTGGCCACATGTTCATCACCGCGATGGCCAGCGCGTTCACCCGCTCCTTACACCGCTGTCAGGAGTAAAGCAGTCAGTCTCCTCCGCGTTACCACCACCACCGAGGGGGCAAAGCGACTTGGACCGGAGAGTGGATTCTTCCGCTTCCAAACCCCACTCCATTCATCCCCTCTCAGCTTTTGGGTGCCCTGGGGGCAAGTGAGACTCTGCAGAGGTGTGGTCGCCTATCCGCACTCCCTTTTCAAAGCTTCGTTGGAAAACTGCGGGGTCACGTCTGAGTTTGAGACAGGAGGCGCCTGTATTCTAGCTCTTTCCCCATTTTTAATGTTGGCCCCTCACCCCAACTCATTCTGGGTCCTCAGCTCAACCTGGGGGAAAGCAGGGTCTAGAGGGCGGGTGGGAGCTTGGACAGGGAGGGGTTGCACAGCCCGACTCCCAGAGAGGAGCCGCTGTTCGCTGGCCCCCACCGCACGCCCCGGCTGCCCTCCCTCCGCCTGATTCATCTTTTGTTTCGTTGCCTTCCCTGGCACCGGGCATCGCTTCCTTCCTTCCTTCCTCCTCCTCCTCCTTTCGGCCCCTAGCATTAACCCCTTCATGGTGTCACTGCCCCCCACAGAGGTGCCCTAGCGGAGCCGTGCGGGATCAAGGCTGCTGGAAAAAGGGTTGGGGCGGCGGGGGCTGCGCGAAGTACAATGGGCATTCTCCGGGATGACTTAACCGAGCGAGAATCCCGGGGCCGAGGCCGGGGACCCGCCGGGAGAAGCGGACTCAGCAGCTCCATCCACAAAGGCGCTTTTCAACCACCCCGGCTCCGGGAGAGGAAAGGGCAGAAAGCCGCGCCCCCTATCCCTGCTCCGGCCGGCCAGTCCCCTCCCCCAGCGCGGCCAGGCCTCCGGGATCCAGCTCAGGCTCTGCCAGCTCTGAACGCGGCCACCTCTCCATCTCTGGACCAGATGCAGCCCGGAGAGGCGTGGGAGTAGCACCTGAGAATGGCCGGAGCCGCCCTGGTGTGGATCTGGGGGGCCCCTGCAGGGTGGGAGCGGAGAGAAGGAAAAGCGGCGGCGGCTGGAAGCCTGCACCCGGGGGAGTGAGACCGCGGTTATCTCGGCCGCTCCATTCTGGGAGCCGGAGACCTTGGCGCGCACCACGGCACGGACCCGGCGGGAGGAGGCGCAGAGAGGACAGCTTCCTTTTCTTCTTCTCTCCGACCTCTCACCTTGGACTTGGTTTTCTCCTAACTGCCAGAGGGACACTTTCCCCCTGCCCTTCTTGCTGAGTCTTCTACTACACCTCCGCAGGGTTGGAGAGGAGGGGAGGGGAAAGACAGGAAAAGTGGTAACTCCTTCCAACTTTTCGTCGTTTTGTCCCTTAAGGAGGCCCGAGGCCTTGACCTGCGGGGGCAGCAGCCCAGTGCAGAACCAACTCAATGGAGGCCTTTTGCAGCCAGGGTGTGGGAGATAAGCAGGACCCAGAGGGTTCCCAAGCCTGTCAGAGCCCCTCCTGGGTCTGTCCCTTATCCTGCCCACTCTGCTGCAGGTGGCAGCCAGAGGAAACATTCCGTGACCAAGAAGGAAAGGACTGACCCTTCCCAATCTCTGGGTGAAAGAAGGGATTCTTTCTCCCCTAGACAGGTTTTCCTAACAAAGTAACCTGGAAAACTATTGCAATTAATCAGAGGAAATCCGTACCCCTCCCTCTCCCCCCACCTCCCCACTCCATACACAATTAGGTGGTGTAATGGAAAGTGTATAGGACTTAGAATCAGGAGTCCTGAATTCTAGTTCCAGCCATGTCACTAATTAGTTTTAAGACGTTGATTAAATCACTTTTCCTCCTGGGGCCCAGCTCTCACTGTAAAATGGGAGGTGGGGTGATGGTGGAAGAATGTGACCTCCAGATTTCCTTCCAGCTCCAACATTTGAGATCATTGGCCAGAGGGGGTCCTTCTCTCCCAAAGCATTACTCACCTCACCCTAGGTTGGTTAAATTTTTATCTGCCCCAGATGCTCAATACGAGGTAGTTGAATTTATTTTGTTTTAAATTCCAACAAAAGCCCCCGAAATAAACTGGGCTTGAGGGACACAGGAACACTTTGATTCTCAGGTGGGTCCCTCTGTTCTGATTGAGAACTGCTTTTCACCTAAGACAGGCGTTTAGACTAGAATAATCTCGCCCCAGTTCTAGGATGCCTCCACTCTGCCAGAGACAATTCCTACCCAGTCCCTCCTCAGGTAGATGGCCCCGTGACCTGACTCTTGGCCACACTTTCTCAGCCTCCTTCAGTCTTCTTGGCTCACAGAGATTTTCCAAAATCAGGTCAGAAGCCAGGCTAAGGGCATAGCTTTCTGTCTACTGCCTAGCCAGCTCCTGGCCCCCAGCTCACCCCAGCCCTTCCTGCCTGGCTCGGTAGCTGACCCCCGGTCCACGCCTCAGCCATTTCCCGTCTCGCCTGCCGCCATCCCCCTTTCCCCGCCCTCGCCTTCGAAGTCTCTCCCAGCTTCACTCTCACTAGTCCCTCCTTCCTCTCCCCATCCAAGTCTCTCCCAGTTCGGATCTCTCCTGACCACTCAGTCCAGCCAGGCGAATTTTTATTTTGGGGAGAAGTGGAGTGGAGGAAGTTCTTTGAGATTAAGGTCCCTGGAGATGAAGCCCCGTTCTCCCACCGGGGCTACGATAGAAAGTAGAGAAGTTGGCAGTGCCCTGGCACAGGTAAGGAGAGGCCCACCTTACCTCCGTCATCAGGCGGTCTGCGCCACTGTTCTCTTCATCTTTGAAGATGATGTCGGGATTGTAGTTGGGCACCAGGTCCCGGAAGCGCTCAGAGCCCCTGGCAACCCTACCTTCAGCTGGCCCACTGGCGCCCAGGGTCCGTTCGGGCACGCTGGGCACAAATTGCTTGTAGAGCAGCGGCACAAGCTGCTTGCGCACGTAGCGGCGCCGACCAACCGGCCCCCGGCCCGGCCCGCAGCTCTGGGCTGGCAGCGTCAGAAGTGCCAAGCAGCACAGGAGCACCAGACTGGCCAGCAGCGCCATGGACGCAGCGCACTTGGGCCAAAAGGGAACGTTCTTATCCTTACCAACTCGCCTGGCAGTTGGGCATTCCCCGGCACCAGAGAGCGCAGCAGGCAGAACTGCCCCAGAGTGCCCTAGAGCTCTTGTGGCTCTACGCACCTGGCTGCCGCTAGCTCTGCCTACATGCCCCCAGGGGTTCTGTAACCTGCTACAGGCGGGCCATCATAGCAGGGAAGTGGGGTCGTGGGTGACTGCCAGCTCAGCCTGGCTCTGTCGCCAGGCTCCGGCGCTGCCACAATGCCCGGGCTCCGCCTTAAGTGGCCCCTGGCCCCGCCCCCCGCCCAGGACTGTCCCGCCCCCTACCACCAGGGCGGGGGCTCTAGCCGGTCACCACTGGTCCAGTTTGAGATTAAGGTGTGTCCCATCCTGGAAACCAGGTAGTTACTTGCCTAGGAAACCCTAGCAGCTCTATAGTCCTCGGCTGTCTGGTTAAGCATCCTTCTACCTCCCAGTCTGTGCTTGGTACCAAACCATCCTCCTGATATTTGCATTGGATCTTTGCTCTCCCAAAGCCTAACCTGGCAGGCCATGTCCTCTGTTACTATCTGGAAATACTGGTTCCAGTTCCTGCCCAAAGTCGACCATGCTCTTTGGACATACAGCCAGAGCCTCCCTGTCTGTCCGTGGTCTTCCCCAAACCTCTGCCATTTCCCTCTCTTCTGTTGGGAGTTTTCCCTAGAATCAGCAACAGAGCTTCAAGTTATAGTCTAGTTTAGGACTTCAAAATTTGGCCCCCCTTGCTATACACCCAACTTTTTAAACTAATAACTTGTCAATTGGAAGTTGCTGAAAGGCAGTGGCTACTTGAACTCTAACTGGTTTCATCTTTCCTCTAGCCACCTCTAGCCTTCTTGCTCTCTGGACCCACCCCCACCCCCACCCCCACCCCCACCCCCACCCTGGGGCTCTGCTTCCAGACAGTCACTCAGGTTTATCTCAGAGGCTTTGAGCCTGCTACACTTCACCCACCAATCTACTGTCCTTTAGAAATCACTTTCTCTAGGAAGCCTTCTCTGATGTCTTGACACCACACCTCTATTTCCTTGAAAACCAGTAATTAATTGCCATTTATTGTGGTTCAGTGTTAGAATTATGTCACCCCTACTAGACAAAGCAATTAAGCACCAACTTATTTATCATGTAACTCTATGGTTAAGTGCTTGGCTGATAGTAGAGTGCTCAGCAAATATTCATGGCATGGCACCTATTTTTTTTTTTTGGGGGGGGTGTTGTTTTTGTATTCCATATTCACCCCTCATGCAGCTCCATAGCTAGCACTTATAGCACCTTGGTGTACATTAGGGGGAAAAATACCCCTTCCTCAATACACCTTCTACTTGCAAGAAAAGTCATAACTATACCTTGACTATGAGGTGAATGGTGCCCCTACATGTTGTATAATGCAACATATACATAACACTGAGCAGAAACTTTGTCCCTAGCCCCAACATAGCAGGGGGCTTGCATAGTACTTAAGGCACTGATAGCCTCTGAAAAGATGGAGTTGGGTTCTTCTCTGAGGTAGATCACAAACCTCTGTTAGCTAGCCACTTCTTTTACTTCACATCCAATAGTCAAATCGGGGAGAACAGGAGTGTGTGTGTGTGTGTATACAAGGGGATCTTATCCTATTCCTACACCCATGCCTACATCCCCCAAAAACCAAAGCATAGAAACAAGGTCATGAGTATACGGAGAGTCAGGGGACCAGTCAACTTTAGACAAGGCTACGGGAGAGAGCTCCCAAATGACTAATTGTGTGGCCTGACACCAAACCCAAGTTCTCAAAGAACACTAAGAATGCAGATGGAGGGGAAGGGAAAGGATGGTGGAAAGGACCATTCTGTTTCTCTCAGTTGATAGATTCAGGACTTGGGAGGAGAGCAAGGTTATTCAAATAAACACAGAGAGAGCCTTTTAAAAAAACCAAAGCAAACCTTGGGATCAACTTTATTGCTGATGGTTGTGGCCTTTTCTTTCCCACACCCTCACCTCTCTGGTGGTCCAAAGTCCCTCCAGGATAACACAGTGCTTAGTTTCTTCTAGACCAGAGGCAAAGGGAGACAATCTGCCCCCCACATTTGCCCCTGCTCAGTCCCTCCCCTGTCCCCACCCAACCCTATTGCACATCAAATCATGTAAACATGGCTACAGGCATGGCCTGCAATAGCAGTGAGGCAGATTGATGTGTTAACGGATTTGGGACCAGGAGCCAGACCCGGGTCACTCAGCCCTACCGCATGCTAAGGTCCACAGTTAAATCTAGAAAAACAAGGGGCCTGGTCCCAAACTCTGGCTCAGATTATGCAACAGTGCAGATGGCTCAGCTCCCCTCTGCCACCCACCCCTCTCAGATTCCAGGTCCTAAGGATCACCAATTCCTGGTGTTGCTTCAGGACTGGGTAGCAGATGGCAGTGTCCAGTTTTTCCCCTCTCACCCCCAACTGGAGGTCACTAGTGTTGGGTCTTCCTAGATGCCCTGGGGAAAGCAGAGACAGGCAATGGCAGTCTGTCCAGTCCTGAAAAAGAGGGAAGGCAGGCAGTCAAAAGTAGGACATATGTCCAGACCTCTGGGATAAGACAACCAAACCACAAAATGGATGGATGAAGCAGGTTACAAGTAAAGCAGAAAGCCTGGCATCTCCCCTGCTGGAAAGACCACTGTTCCAGAAGGCTCCACCCCACCAGCCTGTGACTCCCACTCCCTCTCACCAAAAGCCCGGATCAGCTCCGCCCGAACAGCTGCAGTGAAGGTCTTCACCAGACAGAGAGTGGTGAGGCCCGCAAAGGTTGCATTGTAGAGGAACACGATGTAAAAATTGCCCAGCCAGTTGAAGCGTCCAAAATCACCCAGCAGGTCAAAGCGAGTGAGTCCTGAAGTACAAAGACCAGGATGGAAGGTGGGCATCCCAGCCCCTCGCTGGCTCAGAGCCCAGCTTTCTGCTGCCTTCTTGTGGCCACATTTCAACACTGCAACTGATAAGTTGGCCTCTCCTACTATTTGAAGGGGGAGTGGGGGTACTTTATAATTGTTTTCATTTATTTTTTAAATATATTTTTATTGATTTTTTATACAGAGAGAAAGGGAGAGAGATAGAGAGCTAGAAACATCGATGAGAGAGAGTCATCAATCAGCTGCCTCTTGCACACTCCCTACTGGGGATATGCCCGCAACCAAGGTACATGCCCTTGACTGGAATCGAACCCAGGACCCTTCAGTCCCCAAGCCGACATTCTATCCATTGAGCCAAACCGGTCCCGGCTATAATTGTTTTCATTTAAAAAATTAATTATTTATTGTCGATAGTATTACATATGTCCCCCTTTCCCCCCCATTGACCCCCTCCAGCCCACCCCCAATCCCCTTCCTCCCCACCCCAGGCCCTCAGCACCCTTTTATCTTTGTCCATGGGTTATGCATTCAAGGTCCCATCCACCCTCCCCCACCTTCCCTCTGGATTTTGCACTCTGTTCCATGCTTCCATGTCCCTGGGTCCATTCCATTTATCAGTTAATTTTGTTACTTAGATGCCACATGAGTGTGGTTATGTGATACTTGTCTTTCTCTGACTTATTTCACTTAACATGATACTCTCCAGGTTCCTCCATCCTGTCCCAAAGGGTGAGAAAATCTTTTCTACTGCTACATAGTATTCCATGGTATAAACGTACCACAGCTTTTTTATCCACTCATCTATTTTTAAAAATATATTTTTTTTATTGATTTTTTTACAGAGAGGAAGAGAGAGGGATAGAGAACTAGAAACATCGATGAGAGAGAATCATCAATCAGCTGCCTCTTGCACACCCCCTACTGGGGATGTGCCTGCAACCAAGGCACATGCCCTTGACCAGAATCGAACCCGGGACCTTTCAGTCCGCAGGCCGATGCTCTATGCACTGAGACAAACCGGTTTCGGCATCCACTCATCTATTGATGGGCACTTGGGCTGTTTCCAGATCTTAGTTATTGTACATTGTGCTGCTATGAACAGAGGGGTGTAAATATTCTTCCTGATTGGTGCTTCAGGTTTCTTAGGATATATTCCTAGAAGTGAGATCACTGGATCAAATGTGGTTCCATATTTAATTTTTTGAGGAAACTCCATACTGTTTTCCATAAGGTTGCACCAGTCTGCATTCCCACCTGTTGTGTACTAGGGTTCCCTTTTCTCCATATCCTCACCAGCACTTGTCATTTGTTGGTTTGTTGATGTTAGCCATTCTGACAGGTGTGAAATGGTACTTCATTGCCATTTTGATTTGCATCTCTTGGGATAATTAGTGACTTTGAGCATTTTTTCATGTCTCTTGGCCATCTGTATGTCCTTTGCCTATTTTTTAATTGGATTGTCTTCCTTTTGTTAAGTTGAATGAGTTCCTTATATATTTTGGATATTAACCCTGTCCTCTCCTAGTATTACATAATTATTCCTATATCCCAAGCTGCCTCAGAGTTGTTTAGGGCTATAAAGAGTCAGCAGCTAAACTTGTTCCAACTTCCCTGCTAGAGTTTGGCATGTTCTCCAATGGGGTCCCCTCTGGCTCCAGTTATCCCAAGGAGCTATCTGGACCCACCAGTTGTTCCTGGGTCAGGAACTTACAAGCTAGTCACTAGTATTTTTTTTTTTTTTTTAATAGGTAGAGCTGTGTGGAGGCCAACAGCTCTGCTATGGTTCATATCCAAAATCCATCTCAACTAATTGTGTGATTTGGGGCAAATTCCTTAAACACCTGTGCCTCAGTTTCCTCAACTATAAAGTAGAGGAAATAATGGGACTATAAGAATTAAATAACACACATAAAGCACTCATTATATGTGCCAGGAGTATTTTAACCCTTGCTGGGCCTTTAATAAAATATCAACAAATAAGATTTCTGGCTCAGTGGTAGAGCGTCAGTCTGCGGACTGAAAGGTCCCAGGTTCGATTCCGGTCAAGGGCATGTACATTGGTTGCGGGCACATCCCCGGTAGGGGGTGTGCAAGAGGCAGCTGGTCGATGTTTCTCTCTCATTGATGTTTCTAGCTCTCTATCTCTCTCCCTTCCTCCTCTCTATAAAATATCAATAAAATATATATTAGAAAAAAAAAAAAAGATTTCTGGGGCCCTCCTCCACTTAACTTCAACCGAAAGGAACTAACTGATGGACCTACAAGCCTAATGTACTACTAAATCCTCATGTTTTAAGTATAAATGCTACAGGGGAAAGAGTATGGGCTTAAGAACCAAAGAGAACTAATTTATTTTTTTGATTTTGAGAGTACATTATTAAAGCTGGGGACAGACAGGGGTTGGGGGATATAGAAAAGGGTATGGGGGAATAAATGGTAATGGAAGGAGCTTTGACTTGGGGGAACGAACACATAATACAATATACAGATGTGTAATAGAATTATACACCTGAAACGTATATAACTTGATTAACATCACCTCAATAAATTCAATAAATAAGGTAAAACAAAACATCATTATATAATACATATAAAAAAAAGCTGGGGACAGTGAAAAACAGGGAAGACTTAAAATACAAGAGACAAGCCGAAACCGGTTTGGCTCAATGGATAGAGCGTCGGCTTGGGGACTGAAGGGTCCCAGGTTCGATTCCGGTCAAGGGCATGTACCTTGGTTGCGGGCATATCCCCAGTAGAGGGTGTGCAAGAGGCAGCTGATTGATGACTTTTTCTCATCGATGTTTCTAACTATCTCTCTCCCTTCCTCTCTGTACAAAAATCAATAAAATATATTTAATAAATAAATAAATAAATAAATAAATAAATAAATAAATAAATAAAATGAGACAAGATCACAGCAACAGGAGGAAGCCTAGGCTGGGCTGCCTAGACTTGGAAAGGAAGTCAAAGTAACAGAAGTGAGTCACGCTGGGCTGCATGGACTCAGGAAAGGAAGTTACAGAGGCCAAAAGAGAGTTCTTGGAGACAGGTTCAGGGGGCTAGCTTGGGATAAGCTGCTGCTGCCCACTGCTCTCCTGGTTGCAAATCTCTTGGGGACCCTTGGAGCTTAGAAGAAAGCAAAAGTACACACCTGAGAAAAGGGGGCACAGGCATGCTCAAGAGTGTTTTTAAATAGAACTAGTTTAAATCATGTATGATATATGGAAAATGATGTAGTGGTGGGGGGTTACTTATGCAACTCTCATACTACCCTGGAGTAAACTAGTTACATTAAAAAAAATTTTCTACCAGGTAATTCTAGATCATAGTTCTAAAGATAGGAGAAGGACTGAGTGTATTATTTGATGCCCTGGTGTGTGCAAAGAGCGCTGGACTAGGATTAAGAAGACAAGGGTTCTAGCCTGACTTGGTCTTGCCTCAAACTAGCTATAAAATTGGGCAAATTAATTAGCTTTGTATTTCATCTTTAAAATATTTAGCCCTGCCTGGGAGCTCAGTTGTTGTCCCAATATGCCAAGATTGTGGTTCAATCCCAGTCAGGGAACATACACGAATAAACCAATGAATGCACAAATAAGGGGAACAACAAATTGATGTTTCTCTCTCTCTCTAAAATCAATACTAAAATAAATAAAATGAGAATGTTTATTATATGATCCAGCCCAAAAAAAGATTTAGGGAAAAGTGGTACTTTTCAATAAAAAACAAAAACATAAAACAAATTAGAAGTAAATGGGGAAGGCTATGTGACATAATGGAAAAGTATGAGCTTTGAAACAACACTATTCTGAAACTCAGCACAAGCATTTCACAGAACCTGTTTCTCAATCTGTATCATGGGCATTATAGTTTATTATAAGTTTGTTGTGAGATTTAGGGAGAACATGTACATAAAGTGTCTGCTTAGCACCAGTAGGTACTAAAAAGAAGCCAATTCCTTTACCTCCCCCCCTTTTTTTATTGATTTTTTACAGAGAGAAAGGGAGAGGGAGAGAGTTAGAAACTGCTGAGAGAGAAACATCAATCAGCTGCCTCCTGCACACCCCCCCACTGGGGATGTGCCCGCAACCAAGGTACATGCCCTTGACCGGAACTGAACCTGGGACCTTTCAGTCTGCAGACCGATGCTCTATCCACTGAGCCAAACCAGTTACGGCCCTTTATCTCCTTTTGCTACTTACCCAGGGTTCGAGAGAAGACAGGAAGTGCTGAGCTTAGGACCAGGAGACAGACACAGTTCCCGATTATCTGGATAGGAGTAAGTAGAGGGGAGATGAGATAGCAGAGCTACCAGTATCTAGTCCCCATGCATGCTTCCGGGATACATCCTCTACTCCTACCCAACTACCTGTGTCATGGCTGTGTCATGCCATCTGGGCCGCAAGCCCCGGAAGAGTGGAGAACTGTAGAATCCCACGATCGAAGACACCATCAGGTAACTGCCAATGGAGTTAGGGAAGAACTGGCCAGCTCCCAAGGATTAATGCCTCATCTCAAAGGGAATAAGCTCCTTTCCCCCCAACCCTCCTTTCAAAATCAAGTCTTTTCTTTATTTCCAAACCTCAGGTTGGTGAAGACTTACTTGCCCCCTTCCCATCAGTCCTACTGCATATCTGCCCAGAGCCCCAAAGGAGACATTCAGAAATCAGAGGAAATAGTGGGTTTCCAGAAGGATACAAGATGAGTACAACCTGAATGACAGCACCAAAGGAGCCCAGCTTGGAGAAGGAGACCTGGCCCAGGGAGGCACCCTGAGGAATGAAGTAGTATTACAGTGGAGCACTCTCCACAGTCAGCACCACCCAGCACCCAGCCTTCCCTCTGGCCTCAGTTTCTTCCCCCTCACCCCAGCTTTTCTAAGTCCTCCCCAAAAGATATGGTGGGAGGGCAGCCCAGTACCTGCATGCCCCGGGGCATGGCAGCCTCATCGATGAGCAGCTCCAGGATGTGGATGGCCACAATGAGCACGGATAGGCCCTGTGTGAGGCAAGGTCCCAGATTCTCATTCATGCCCCCACCCACAGCAGTATCCAGAGTTACATGTTAAGAGAAGACACTGTGCCCTGGCCGGGTGCTCAGTTGGTTAGAGCGTCATCTTGATACACCAAGGTTGTGTGTTCAATCCCCAGTCATGGCACACATAAGAATAAACCAATAATGAATGCATAAATAAGTAGAACAACAAATTGATGTTTCTCTTTTTCTGTCCCTTCCCCCCCTCCCAAATCAATCAATAAAACAAATTTTATTAAAAAAAAAAAGCAGCCCTAGCTGCTTTGGCTCAGTGGATATAGTGTCGGCTTGTGGACTCAAGGGTCCTGGGTTTGATTCTGGTCAAGGGCACATGCCTGGAGTACAGGCTCGATTCCCAGTAGGTGGCATGCAAGAGGCAGTTGATCAGTGATTATCTCTCATCATTGATGTTTCTATCTCTCTCTCCCTCTTCTTTCTTCTCTGAAATTAATAAAAATATACTTAAAAATAAAAATAAATAAAAAAGCATATACTCTGCTCCAACATTTTCAGTTTCCAAGCACTGTATGGGACCTCCTCAAGGCAGATGCCAGTAACAGAGCACTATGAGGGTATTATAAGATACTAGAGGCCCAGTGCACAAAATTCATGCATGGGGGAGCATGAGGGAGCAGTGTCCCCTCAGCCTGGCCTGCACCCTATCCAATCCATAATTCCTTGTGGGATGTCTGAGCAGCAGTGTTGCAATTCGGGACTGCTGGCTCCTAACTGCTTGCCTGCCTGTGTACCTGCCTGTCTGATCACTCCTAACCACCTCTGCCTGCCGGCCTGATTGCCCCTTAAGTGCTCCCCACTGCTGGCCTGATTGCCCCTAACTGCCTCTGCCTCAGCCCCCACCACCGTGGTTTTGTCCGGAAAGACGTCAGGAAGATGTCTGGTCTAATTAGCATATTACCCTTTTATTAGCATAGATACCCTTTCCAGGTGGAAGAATAGCAAGAAAGCTAAATAGTGAAACCTCCCAACTTTAAAAACGATTCTTCCCCCAGATTGATAAGACTTATTCCCAAGTCCAGGTTGTGGCAAGTTGGGGGACAGACTGAATTTCAACCCTTATTTTCACCCACAGCAAACCTAGGTAAGTATTCAGTGGTCATGTGTAGCCTTGGGTAAACTCCTTAACTTCTCTGTTTCTTCATTTTCAAAATTTGGATTGATGTGCTCAACACAGGGCAGGACACAAAGTAGACACTCAGTAAGAGGTAACTACTATGATTGAAGATAACTGGGTCCCCGAATCTCCTCCCTCTTCCCTCAGAAGGTATAAAGTACTCAAAGGCCTACTACTCACCACCCCCATCAAGGATGGTATACCCACCGTCAATAACAGCAAGCACAGCATGGCCAGGGGATAACCCAGGTTCCGCTGCCAGGCTGAAGCCTTCCACCGCTTTTCTGTGCAAGGATGGGAAGCTGTTAGCACAGGCTTGGAGCAAGAGGCTATTCTTTCGGAAAGCCAGGTATTCCATCCCTGCTAACACATACCCAGTAGGACCCTCTGTGTCTGCAGAGCCAGCACCTGTCTGTGCAGCAGCTCCATGTCCAAAGGCAGCCAGCAGGAGGTGGGATCTGAGGGCAGAAAAGATGGTGCTGTCCCCGCCCAAGCCAAGCCTATCATCCCACCTGGGAAGAATTGCAACTCACTGCAAATCCTGCGGGTCAAAGCTGCTTCTTCAAAGGCTGAGCAGTACAGCTGCTCCTCCAGGTCTTCTAGCACCTGGGAGTGGGGGGAAAGGGAGGGTCTAATAGTCAGGGGCTTCCAGATCCCAAGGGGCCCCGGAGCACCCTGTTCATTCCAGGGCTTTATCGTCCCATTCCTCCCTCTTCCCCTCATTCACTACCCTGGGGTCAGCAACTTATCCATCCCTCCCGGCTGCCTTGCGTTCTGCTTTGTATGTCTAGTAACCAGCTCCAGATGATGGGGGTGGAGGATACAGGAGCCAACAAAGGCAGTGGCCCTCTGCAAGGTGTGTACCACACAATCACAGGGTTGCTTTGTTTTCTGGCTCCAGCTTGGCAGGAAGTTCACCTCACAGGATCAAAAGGCAAGGAGAACTACATACCCGCGGTTTGACCAGCAGCTTCCCAGTAACCGAGAACATGCGGGCGAGACCTAGCGGAGTACACACTGTGGAGACAGAAGCCTGATAGTCACCTGATAGACTCTTCTCTCCATCATTCCCCCTAAACACCCCTCCATTCCCTCTCCTTCCACCCTTGTGGCTCCGATCCAAGGACCTTACCCATTATCTCCCAGACCCTCAACACTCACCCAGGAGCAGCAGGACCCCAAGGAAGGAAATGCAGGAATAGAGGTAGGGGAGGTAGTACTCCCAGAAGTCTAAGGGCGAAAAAAGCAGTACAGTCAGCCCATCTCTTTCCTGCTTATTGGAACGACAGGCCTCAGAGACAATACAAAACTTACAGAGGTTAGGCAAGTAATGCAAATGAGGAAAGCTGGCCTGTGTCACAGAAGAGGGAGTGGCAGGGACTATAGCAAACTGGAGATCCTAAGCCCTACCTAAAGGGCACAACTGTTATACTGCCCAGTCACTGAGGACTAGCAAAGCCAGAGATATGGATATTAATGTGAAACCTCCCAAGCTTAACATATATATAGCAACTGACTCATGTTTTTAACACTGTACGTGCATGCCAGCATGTGGTCTTTTGTGGAAGAGACACACTCAAGGGGCCAAAGAGCTGCATGTGGCTCTCGAGCCACAGTTTGCTGACCACTGGTTTAGATGATCTCAATCTTCACCTCAGAGGGATATAGTTAATCCAGGAAGGGGAACATCTGCCAACTGAAGAGCCACTCAGCCTGGAGGGTGGGAAGGAAGCTGGCCCTCTCACCATAGAGTGACTCCCTGCTGGTCTTGTTGTTGTCCACAATGGCCGATGCCACCCACACCATGCCCAGCACCAGCAGAGTGAGGAGCATCAACATTACCACTGTCTCGTAGACTCGGCCCAGGACACCCTAAGGAAGAAGGCAATGGTTGTGGGATGGAGAGAAATGCCAACAACGGCGGGGCAGTATGGGGAAGGAAGGAAACACTGGGAACGGGAGCCTGGCTAGGGGAACCAGAGGACTGAATTCAGGAGAAAGGGGAAAGCATTTCCCTCTCATTCTGCTAAATCACTCTGTCCTCCTACTCCATAACCGGAATATCCATTCCCATCTTGGTATTTTTCCTTGGTAACCTTCCTCCTCGGGTCCTTTCTCCATCCTTGTTTTGCCCTGGGAGGCTGACTCCTGAGGTCTGCATCACAGAAGCTCTTTGCCCTTGATTTTCCTGTCCAGCTTGCCCATTGGAAAGAACCAACAGCTCCTTTGCTGGTGGTTGCACCTCCCAGCTTCAACTGGGTTCCAAAAGCTATTTTTTTCTCTGCTCCTGCAAGCCTATGGTGGTAAGGACTTTCTGATGTTACTAGCACCTCAAACTCCTTGTTGATCTCCTCAACCCTAACTATACCTCTATAAATAGTTTCTTCATTAAAGTCTCTTTAGTTGAAACATCTGGGTGGAATTGTTTCCCGCCTGGATTGATTAATACATCACTCACCTTTTTGGAGCCAGCGAAGCCCTCAGACTCAGTGAAGAAGTATGCAAAGGGCATGAGGAAGATGAGGGACAGGTTGGAGAAGAGAAAAACGAGGTTCCAGAGGCCTAGAGCAAAAAAGGAAAGGCAGAGGTGGTCAGAAAAGAGTGACCCAACCCACTGGGTACTGATCATGTGATCGGGAAGCTGGGGATGGGGTGATTATGACTAATGAGTATCAGGCTGTATCTGCCTGACACTTTCTGCACCCTATCGCCATCCCAAGCTGTAACCAGGAGCCACGCACCATGGATGAGGGAACCATTGAGCCACTGGATGTAGTAGTTCCGAGGCAGTGACAGCAACACCTCATTGCTGATGATGGAGAAGGGCAGGAGCAGTACAGCACCCAGGGAAACTGCCAGGGTAAAGGTGCAGAGCTCGAGCCTGGGTGGAGAAGAGATAGTGTCCTTGCTCAGATCAGACACTTCACTAGTCCAAGAAGCCCCATTCATCCCTGCAGGCACCTGTAGTTTCTTCTGGAACCAACTCGCAGTGACAGACCAGGGAAGGAGCCATCAGCTGGGGCTCCACTACTGCCCCCCAGCCCCAGTCCTTACCTTCAGGGAAGCCTTGGCACACGGGATGGGTACATCTCAGGCATTTATGGGAGCCTGGTCATCTGCCATGTCACTTGCTTAGACTGTCCTCAGGAATGTGATCCTCCCACACATGCCCGTAGGGGCACCAGGCATAATGCCAACCTAAGAGGCCTGGCTTCTCTAATAAGAGATGTGGATTTCTAAGCTTGCCTCTTCAGCCCACATAAAGCAGGGTCACCCCATATGACTATGCCCTGAAGGAAGCTCTAGGACAAAGGGAGAAAAGGGAGCTAAAACTCAACTTCATAGCCAAGGCCTGTGTGCTGGGCTGCAGCAGTTGAAAAGAAGGGACACTTTATTTATTTTGACCATCAAGGAGGGATGGTTGCCTTCTTATAATCTGTTGGCCCAGAGGAGCCATCACTGTATCTTTATACTTGCTAGTGAATAAGATTCATCCTTAGATTTAAGCACACCTCCCCTTCAGGGGTCCTACCTTTCCCATCCCCAGCTGTTTTCATTAATCTGATTCTACCCTACTCCCTTCCCAATGGATGCTGGGAGGAGAAGCCACTCTGAAGTCATTTCTGATGACTCAAGCCCCAGCTGACAGTTTCCAGCCTTGGGGATCCCAGGAGCTCCTGGCCTAACCAGGGAGACAGGAAGAGCAGCTTTTCTAAGCGTCCCCAGGGTGGGGTAAAGCCGGAAGAAGCCAGAAGTAGGGTGGAAGTAGAAACTCTCTCTTTACTTTGTGACACCCCACTCTCTCCGCCAGCTCCAGGGCCTCACTAGATTCCAGCTTCTAAAGGCAACTGGTGCCAGGTGCTCAGACAGCGACACTTACGCAATCTTGTTGACTGTGGCATCTTCATCATCCACTACAAAAGACAGAAGCGTGGGGAAGAAGCAGATCAGTGGGCAGCTCTGGGAGCCATCTGTGTTGCAGCATGCCTTCCTTCTCCTTCCCTGTCCCCTGAAAGAAGGGCCTGCGCCCACAGAGGCAGAGCTGGACAGAGGCTCTGCAACAGCTCATGCTATGAACCCCACAACCTGTTCGTTGGCCAAGGTAGCAGTGGCCCCAGGTGGAGAGAGAACAGTCTAGAGACTCGCTCACTCCCCTCCTTCCCCAATACAGGTTCCTCTTTGTAAGCTCAAAATATGATAAACAACTGGTGTGTGAGGTTGGTTACATCAGTGGCTGGGTGCAGCAAAGAGAAAGCAAGGTGTGTGTGTGTGTGTGTGTGTGTGTGTGTGGGTGGGTGGGTGGTGGGGGGATTCACAGAGAAAGTCCCTAAGAGAATTATACTGAGGAATAGCTGCCTTCTTGGGTGGGGGCTCATGGAGGGGAAGAAAGGCTAGGGCCAGGACAGGATAATCTGAACAGGCTGAGGCGAGTGTGTGGACCGCCCCCCCTTTCCCCCCCGCCCGCTCCCTGTCACACAATGCCTACAGGAAGGAAAGCTCCAATCTGAGCACAGATTGGGAAGAGAAAGGCCACCATCACCAGGTCCTGGGGTCCCAGCAGTCACGCAGGTCTCTGGTCCTGGTGTGGGAGCACTAGGAGAGGAGGTGACAGAGCTTGTGCCCATGATAACATTCACCTTTCAGTTGCCCATTTTAGGTTTACAGAGGACATTTATATTAACCATCTCTTTGGACCACATAATAACAATGAACTGGGTAGAGACTGCTAGGCCCATTTTGGAAAGGATAAAACTGAGGGCCAGAAAAGTTACAGGACTTGCCCAGTGGCTTTACTGGTTGTGGACACTTCTATCTAGACTTTCCACTATACCACACTGTCCCTGCCTGTGGAGACAGAAGAGGCAAAGGCACCAGAACAGCCACCTCTCCTTTCCCAGCAGGCACCATAGACCCATTCTCCTGAGGCTGGCTCCGTGGCAACAGAAACACTAGCAGAGGACGAGCAGAGGGAGGGAAGTCACAGGTACCTGTAGTGAACTCAGCAGGCCTCTTGAAGTGGGTCAGGGTGATGTGGCAGAGGATGTAGAGTGTCGCAAACAGAAGTGTTGAGATCTATGGCAGAGTATGAACTGAGATGAGAAACTCTTAAGACTTAGAACATTCCATAGCCCCAAAAGCCTTTCAGTTCATTCCATGGGGTCACTTCCCCAAAACAAAGCTGCATGCTTTCTCCCTGGTACTTCCTTCTAGTCAAGACCACAGGAGCCTTTAAGAACCAGTAGACAGCCTAAGGTTTGGCTCAGTGGATAGAGGGTTAGTCTGTGGTCTGAAGGGGCCAGGGTTCAATTCCAGTAAAGGGCATGTGCCCGGGTTGCAGGCTCAATCCCCAGTAGGGGGCGTGCAGGAGGTAGCTAAACAGTGATTCTCATCATTGATATTTCTATCTCCCCCTTTCCCTTCCTCTCTGATATCAATAAAAATGTATTAAAAAATATGTATGTGGAACAAATTGCTATCTGTCTCTTTTTAAAAAAAAACACCTATATTTCACTGATTTTTTACAGAGAGGAAGAGAGAGGGACAGAGAGTTAGAAACATCGATGAGAGAGAATCATCAATCAGCTGCCTCCTGCACACCCCCCACCGCGGATGTGCCTGCAACCAAGGTACATGCCCTTGACTGGAATCGAACCCGGGACCCTTCAATCCGCAGTCTGACACTCTATCCACTGAGCCAAACCGGTTTCTGCTGTCTCTCTCTCTCTTAAAAATCAATCAGGCTGAAACCGGTTTGGCTCAATGAATAGAGCGTCGGCTTGGGGACTGAAGGGTCCCGGGTTCTATTCTGGTCAAGGGCATGTACCTTGGTTGCGGGCAAATCCCCAGTAGGGGGTGTGCAAGAGGCAGCTGATCAATGACTCTCATCGATGTTTCTTACTCTCTATCTCTCTCCCTTTCTCTCTGTACAAAATCAATAAAATATATATATTTTTAAAAAATCAATCAGGAGCCCTGTAAGATCAAGTATGCTCTAGGCCAAACCAGAGCCTCATTTAATCCTCTCCCCCTAAGAGTAAGACTTAGTTGGAGCCCAGTATCCACAGTTTCTATAGTCAGCATCAGCCTCTTTAAAGGCAGTCAATCCCTGCTCCCAACTCTAGGGCCCGGCATCTCAGGCCTGCCCCTTGCCTCTGGGCAACTGGCCCTCAAACTGCTAGTTAAGACAGGACTTAACCAAGTTACTCTGCACATGCATACATCCCTACCCTACCCCAAGTTAGCTGCTACTGTTTAGGGGAAGAGCTACTGCTCAGTTTGGCCCCATAAACAGGGAGTCTTGAGAAGAGACATTATTGTATTTGAAGTAGTCCAAGAAGGCAGGATCAGTCTTGTGGGTTCTCCAATCCCCAAGAGGACCTGACACCACAGGAAATCTGCATACAGCTATCCATACAAAGAGGGACAAAGTCACAGAGACCCCAGGAGGGCCAGGGGTCTAGGACAAAGTCGTAGCCTACCTCTGACATTAGGAAAGCTGAGTAGAATGAGCCACTTAGATTGGAACCGCAGAATTTTTACAGCCTAGTGCTCCACCCTGGGCTTGCGCAAGTAATAGCTAGCAAGGTGGGAGGGCTCAAAAGGTCATGCTGGAGTTACACGCAGTCCCAGCAGAGGCTAGGTCATTCTCTAGAGCAGAACTGGTGCCAAGTGGAGGAGCTACTAGAAGCCTTCTGGCTGCTCTTGCCCAGCACTGATTCCTCAGCTAATGGGACTCAAGGATGGGGGAGCCATCCAAGAGGCTGCTTCTCTGTCCAAGGTCTCATCCCTCCCGGCTCTCTTAAGAATGTGGGCCGCTGGCCATACACTGTCTCAAGGCCTGGACGAGCCTCAACATATGCCCAACCCCACCATGTGGGGCTATCCACTAAGGGACAAATACGGAAGGATTCCTGAGCGCAGATATGGCATTCTACACATGGACTAATATACTTCCTACCTTTCAGAACTCATAAACAAGGACAGACTCAGTTAAGTAGTGGCTCACTTCAATCCCTCCTCAGTCTGTCCAGGGCAGACCAGAGCCCAACCTTAGAAAAAAAACGAATGATTGACCCACTCACTAACATTTTCTATTCTTTCAAACCTCTCTTTTCCTTTCCATTTGGTACATGGAAGAGAGGGCTATCATGGGGAGCTCAGAGGAAGACGACTCAGGAGAAAGAAGAGAGATGAGAGTTCAAAGCGGGCCTGCGGAAGATTTTACTTCCTTAGCGCCTCCGAGTATCCCCCCCACCCGGCCCAGAAGTGAGGAGTCCATTGCTGTGGTAGGTTCAGCTGATGCTCTTCTAGGTGGCACTGAGCGAGGGAGGGAGGCAGCCAGGTGCTCTCTAGAGCACTGAGGGGAACCACTCACAGGGGAAATCCCTACATGTTCGGATGGCCAGCTAGCAACCTCCACTTGCAGGGTTCCTAACAAACACCAATAAGGGGACGGAGGGGGCTGTGGAGGGAGAGGGATGGAGGCTTAGTTGTTCTCCATCTCTACCCAGTAGAATCCACACCAGCAGGAGTCCTTTCTTCCAAAGTGGGAGTCCCACCAATAAAGTCCCCCTTCAACAAACACCAGTTGGGCGGTAAATGCAAATAAGCCCTCCCCTAATCAAATCCATCCCTCTCGGTCTAAGACGGGCAGACTCACCCAACTCTCAGACACCAGGGGACCCACGCCCAGAACTACGGTGCTGGGCGGGGGAGGGGCGTAGAGAAGGGGGGAACGGAAACGGATGGGCTTTGTTTATGTCGCATCTATTGTAGGTTCCGACCTAGTGGTTCACCAGCTGGGGCACCGGTCCTCGGGTCTGGGCCGGGGCCTTTCGTTGCTCACCCCCGGTGCGCACGGGGTCCGAGGGCACTCTGAGCCCGGGAGGTTGTACTCCGACCCCAACCTCGCCCTCTCCCGCGCCACCCTTTGGCCCTAACCTTGGTACCCGGGTCCCACACTCACAATACATTCGCGGACCCTCTCGTGGAATAGCTGCTCTCGCACGGATAGCACTTCGTAGTCAGCTGCTTCCATACTCTGCTCAGCATGACTGGGGCGGGGTTGTCTCCGGGCCCGGGGAGGACCGGCGGGGATAGAGCCGCCGCCGCCGCCGCCGCCGAGCACCCGGACCCAGCCGAGGAGCCTTTCCTCGCAGCCTGCGACGGAAACTCGGTGTAGGTAATCTGAGGTCCAGATTCAGACGTCCGGACGCCCCGCCCTTAAAGGGGCAGGCACCAGCGCGCCTTGTTTTAAAGGGCCCCTGTCCCCCCACTCTGTCCCCTCCCCTTTAAGGTCGGGCCTCTGTCAGGTTACAACGTAAACACCCGCCTCCAGGCTCGTTAGGAGGAAGCGTCGGTCCACCATCTACTTTACCGGCGGCAGAGTGACGACACAAGGGGTGGGCGGGTTCCTTTCATAAAACGAAACTCATAGGCTCCTAGAGCTGCCACTCATAGGTATGGGAACGATGATAGGCTTTCCCCTTAAAAGGAGGCGGTATCTGTGAAACCAATCGGTGCTCAATCTAAAACTAACCGACTCCTCACCTCCGGCTGTGGAGGAGAGAGGATTTTAGTAACCACTAACTCTTTAGTTCGGCTGTGGTTGAATGAACCTTTTGGAATAAGGCAGCCGGGGAGGATGTGACAGGTCCATGGGGATTCTGAAAGGTTACCGCTTCCCAGGAACCCAAGGTCCATAGCACCATTTTCTGAAGGTGTATATACAATATGTTGGAGTGGGGTCCCCTTCACGGCCAGTTTTCACTCAGTCACTTTTGGGATGGGCAAGTGTGTGTGCTAGAGCAAATACTTGTGAAAGAAAGGAGCCACATGCTAACCTGACAAGCTCTTGGGAGGCCTGTGTGGCAGTCTTGCAAACTCAGAGACCTAAAATAACCAGAAAAGATGGTTTGGAAATTAAATAGTTAAACTACAAACAGGTTATAGTGGGTAGTCATGTCCTAGGCCGATATTTTCTCTGACAAAGATCTTCTTTCCTCAGCCCATTTGCCTCTAAGCCTCTAAGATAACATATCTATGAGATGTCTGGGTAACTTGTAACTTCCCTTTTTTTGGAGCACCTGGGGCACAACCTGATGTGGTGGGCATCAGGACTCATGCCTGTCAAATTCCTTCTTTATCATGTTAATTGTTCCTGCAACCACCTAAGTGCATGTCCACCATTTTACTTTTTATTCAATTCCAGGGGTTTTCCACAGCTTTGCTTTCTTCTGCCTCCTTACTCCATCACCAATGAATTTCATGTAACCCACCTATGTTCCTCCTTTGATTGCAATGTATAAATAAAAATGTAACCCACCATTCTTCGGAGCATTATCGGGAAGTTTGGCTCAAATAAACACAAAAATTCTTTACAGGTTTCAATGTTTGTTTGTTTTTTGTTGTTAACATATTAAAAAAAGAAGAAAAGAAAGCCACAAAACAAACAAACAAACAAACAGCCCTGCCCTGATCAGTTTGGCTCAGTGGATAGAGTGTTGTCTTTCGGACTGAAGGGTCCCAGGTTCTATTCCGGTCAGTTCCCAGGTTTGATTCCATCAAGGGCATTGGTTGCTGGCACATCCCCAGTAGGGAGTGTGCAGGAGGCAGCTGATGGATGTTTCTTTCTCATTGATGTTTCTAACTCTTTATCCCTCTCGCCTTCCTCTCTGTAAAAAATTAATAAAATACATTAAAACAAAAACAAAAACAAAAAAACAGCCCTAACCAGTTTGGCTCAGTGGATAGAGTGTTGGCTTTCGGACTGAAGGGTGCCAGGTTCTATTCCGGTCAAGGTCATATACCTCCGTTAAGGGCACATCCCCAGTGTTTCTAACTCTATATCCTTCCTCTCTGCTAAAATATCAATAAAATATATTTAAAAAACAAAACCTCTCCCTGTCTGTTAAAATCTCAATAAAATATATTTAAAAAACAAAACAACCCTCCCCCCCCCAAAAAAAAAACCCATATCAAAAAAAACCTGATAGTGAACTACAAAAATATTCTCCTGAAACTTTGTGAGGAAATGTTCATAGGAGACCATTGCTGAGTGGTGCTAAATCCAACAGCCGACCTATGTACCACTCATTTTACAGACTATCTCATTTTAATATAACAACCTTTAAGAGGAATGTGTTGTGATTAGCAATTTAGAAATTAGAACAAGGTGAAAGGTTGTCACGTGCCCAAAGTCACATGATTCAGGCATGTCACCTTTCTGAGGTCTCCGTAGAAGTATTGTTTGAAAAGGCTCACCTTCCTGAAGTTAAAGCCTTCCTCCAAATTGGAGGAAGCAGTGCAGAAAGTCAAAAGAAGTGCTGAGTTTTGCAAAGCCTCACAATGAAGAATAGGAGCCCAATTCTAAAGGCCTTCGACTGCATCCAGTTAATATCTGCTACCAGAATTAACAAGTGAATTCTATATCCAGGTAACCATGGGGCAAGTTATTTTGACCTCTTTTCTGTTTCTCCAGTGATTTGCAATAGAACCTTGGGAGCTGATTTTCCTCTTAGCAACCAAGCCTGAAGTAAACAAAACTTCAACCAGGAGAGAGAGAGTAGACACAGTTACAAAGAGGAGAAGAGAGCTAGTCGGGTCCTTGGGTCTGCTGTACGGAATGGAGAGGATAGACAGACGACTTGGGTCTGTTGAGGGTGTTGTAGGAACAAACATGAATGGGTCAAGGCCCTGCCTGAAGGGACTTACAAGCTTGTCAGGGAGAAGTGGCCCTGGGGCTTAACACCTCTCAGGTCTTAATTTTAAGCACATGTGATTTAGTGATCATATTAAAACACAAATCAGATCTTATCTCAGTTCAAAACCTCTCAAAGGTTACCCCTTTACACTTAAAAATTCACCCGCTTTCAAGTAAGCCAACAAGGCTTTCAGAAAATATATTAAACATGCTGTGTTTTGTTGGAAACACTGTGTGTGTTTTTTTTAAACAAATTTGAACAAAAATTTAAAAAATCAGAAAATGACTCCTTAAAAGTTCAGATATCTGTCTCTTCTCTCTCTTTTTAATCCTCACCAGGGGATATTTTTTCATTGATTTATTATTTTTTTAGAGAGAGAATTGAAGAGAAAGGGAGAGACAGAAACATTGATATGAGAGAGACATCCCAACCAGGGCTGGGAATTGAGCTTGCAACCAAGGTATATGCCCTTGATCGGAATCCAACCCAGGACCCTTCAGTCTGAGGATCAATGCTCTAGCCACTGAGCAAAACCAGCTGGGCTGATATCTGTCTGTTAAATAGAAGATCTGGCAGAGCTGGGCAGCAGGACCCATGGCTCTGTAGATGAAGGAGGATGTACCAGTCTTCCACAGCTCCTATTACTTGGGTGAGCACCTCACCAGTTTTTCCATTTACACTGTCAGCCCAACTGTTTTGTGATCTGTGAGCTATCTCCTCTCTGCTTCAACTTGGCACCATCTTCATTCTGGCATTTGGTCAGTTTCTGGTGGACCCTGCCAACTTTCCTCTTTCAGGGCACTGTACTTGCTGTTTCCTCTGCCTGAAAGTTCCCCCCTTCTCCTTCCCAAATCACTTTTAGCTGGCTCCTGTTTTCTTGAGGTTTGAGCTTAAATGTTATCTGCTCAGAGGACTCTCCCTCAATCCCAATTACTTTATTTAAAGCAAATATTGTTTTAATTTACCTCCATTTATGTCTTTACTCCTTTACTCTCCTCTTAGGGGACTAGAACCCTGCATTTGGCTTCTAACTCATTCCTTTCCTTTCAACACTATATATATATATATATATATATATATATATATATATATATATATATATATATATTTAATTGATTTTTTTACAGAGAGGAAGGGAGAGAGATAGAGAATCAGAAACATCGATGAGAGAGAATCATCAATCAGCTGCCTCTTGCACATCTCCCACTGGGGATGTGCCCGCAACCAATGTACATGCCCTTGACCGGAATCGAACCTAGGACCCTTCAGTCCACAGGCCAACGCTCTATCCACTGAGCCAAACTGGTTTTGGCAAACCCCATTTCTTTTATCATTTTTAAAAATATATATTTTATTGATTTTTTACAGAGAGGAAGAGAGAGGGATAGAGAGTCAGAAACATCGATGAGAGAGAATCATCAATCAGCTGCCTCCTGCACACCCCCTACTGGGGATGTGCCCGCAACCAAGGTACATGCCCTTGACCAGAATCGAACCAGGGACCCTTCAGTCCACAGGCTAATGCTCTATCCACTGAGCCAAACTGGCAAACCCCATTTCTTAACCCAGTGCAGTTCTCAAAGTAAACACTCAATGTTTGTAGATTTAAGATCTGTCCAAGAGCCGAAACTGGTTTGGCTCAATGGATAGAGCGTCAGCTTGGGAACTGAAGGGTCCCTGGTTCGATTCTGGTCAAGGGCATGTACCTTGGTTGCGGGCACATCCCCAGTAGGGGGTGTGCAAGAGGCAGCTGATCAATGATTCATCGATGTTTCTAACTCTATCTCTCTCCCTTTCTCTCTGTAAAAAATCAATAAAATATATTAAAAAAAAATAAAAGATCTATCCAAGAGATTAGTTATCTATTTTTTTGTAGGGAAGGGGCCATTTTGAACATCTGCAAGCAACAGAGAGAAGGAAATAATCCAGATTGAGCCTTCACTAAATGCTAAATGTTAACAGATATCTTACATAGATTAGTTGATTCAATGTCACAAGGATCCTACTAAGTAGACTTTTTAATTTTATTTTTTTAAGGTATCAAGTTAAGATCTATTGCACACTAACTGTAGGTAACTGCCAAGTCCTCAAAATGTGAAATTTAGCAACACAATTTTACCTGCAAGGACTTCAAAGATATGCCAACTATATAAGAACAATTTTGTGAAAACATGTAGGAGATAATAATTCGAGTGAGAAAAATATGACACTGGAGGTTTGGGGATAGATATTTCTACATAAGCAATGGGTTCAGAGGTGCAAAAATATAGCAGTAGACCTTTTTTATGTATAGATGAGGAATCTGTTCAAAGAGATTAAGTAACTTGTGCTAGGAGCTATAATAGTAAGTGGTGGAGCTGGGATTTGAACTGGCTTATCTGACTTGGAAGCTTCCCCTTTCCCCAGTATATCTCCCCAGTTTTTGTATTCCTCTCCTTACTAAACTGCTTAGATACTCAGTGTAATAGAAAGGTAAAACTTGAAGAGTCCTGTCACCCTACATCTGTATATAAAAGGTTCACCATTCTACTTCTTCCTTTGAGCTCTCACATGTTGACTAATTGCTAAATAGCACCTTGAGAGGAGCAGACAGAAGTCCCAGAGGCACCC